GGTGGGAGTTTGGGGTTTTTTGGGGGGGAGGGTTGTCCAGAATAATGATGAGGATGATGACTGCTATTTGGATAACACTTGGATCACTCTAAAGCACCCATTTCCCAACAGCCGTGGGAGATTAGGAGAGTAAGTCTTATCTCCATTTGACATGAGAAAGCTGAGATTTAGAGAACTTATACTGTGCCCTGTTACACCATTAATACAAGTTGGAGCTAGAACTCAAACCCAGGTCTTTGGACTCCAGGACCAAGATGGGGTGCAGACCTTTTTTCTGACTTTGGAGCCTCTTTTCCATGCTGGAACACTCTGATGGTTGCACCCTCTCTGCTAAGGCTGTTTCAAGGGAAAAATGAATTAATATCAGTGCGTATGACATAGTGGAACGGACAACGAAACTATCTGCTACTTCATGACTGTGTGACCTTGGCCAAGTGTCCTTTCTTTGAATTTTAACTTCCTCAACTCCAAAAGGAGGGGATGGAACTTGGCCTCTGAGATCCATGGTGGCTGAATCGTGTGATCCATGAACCAGTCATGGTGGCAGTAGTTTAACTTCAGACTGAGTCTGGCCTAAGATCACAGAACTTGCAAATGAGAAGTTTTGAGTCCAGTTCTGTCCCTGTCTGTTAGTGTGACCTGCTACTAACTAGCTGTATGAGTCAGAGCCTTCATTTACTCATCTTGGATGGATGGACAGATGGATGGACGGATGAATGGACGGAAGAAAAAGGGAAAACAGCATTTGTTAAGTGCTTTGTATGTTCCAATTACCAGAGATACAAATAGAAAAGTTAAACTGTCCCTGTTCCCCAGGAGCTCATGTTGGAAAAGAGCTCAGCTGCAGGACAGATGAAAAGGCTCCGGGTCCTTGGGGTGCATCAGGAAGGCAGAAGGTGACAACTTGGGGACTTGGAAGACACAGGAGCAGAGCAGATTATAAAACCCAGTGTCTTTAGGGTTTAATGGTAGGACAGATGGCCAGGTTCAGTGATCCTCCATCTTACCTGAAGAATCATGGCTGGTGACTCCTTACTTATCAAAGCTGTATGAGTGGCGATGTCTGCCCTGCATCTGGGAAGCCGGAGGGGTCTGGGCTCACAACAGGTTAGAAGGAGGTCTTCAAAATGGGAGAGAGAGAGATATGTGCATTACATCCCTTAGAACAGGGATGCAAAGAGAGGGCAGCTAGGTGGTTCAGTGGATACAGTGCTGGGCCTGGAGTCAGGAAAATCTGAGTGCTAATTCAACTTGTAAGTCGTGTGACCTTGGGCACTATCTGCCTCAGTTTCCTTACCTATAAAGTGAGGATTATAATAATACCTTCCTTGCCAGGTTGTTTTGATGATCTAATGAGGTAATATTTGTAAAGCACTTAACACAGTGCCTGGCACATTATTAGTGAGATATTATTATTAGTGCAAACTTAGTCGACTATAAAGTGCTTTATAAACATGAGTTACTATGGTTAATCCCTGCATCTCGGGGGAAAGGGATTCTGGGGTCAGGGCTCCATGATTGATGTCTGTTTCAAGTCGCAGAATCTCAGAGGTGGAGGGCTCTTGGGGAACATATTGGCTCCATTGCACTTGAAGGCAAATCCCTTCTGAGAAGCCGGGATCATAGGTGGAGCTGGAGAGAACCTGCCAGGCGAGCTAGTGACCCTCCCCGCCTTCATTTTACACAGGAGCAGGCTGGCACTCAGACAGTTCGATTCTCTGTCTCCAGACAGAGCCAGGGAGCTTTCCACCCTCCCTGAAAAGCAACTTCTCCAGCCTCTGCCTGAAGACCCCCAGGGAGGGGAGCCCCCCACTCCCAAGCCAGCCAGTGGCACTTTTTGGACGGCTCGAATCACAAGGACGTTTGCCACAATATCCAGCCCAAATCTGCCTCTGCAGCTGTCGGTCATGGCTCCTAGTTCTACTCTTTGTTCCCATAGCAAAAGTCTAATCTCTCTTGAGGGCAGCTAGGTGGCGCCATGGTGCATAGGCGCCGGGCCTGGCATTAGAAGACCTGAGGTCAAATGTGACCACAGATACTAGCTGTGTGACTCTGGGCAAGTCACTTAATCCCATTTGCCTCAGTTTCCAGTAAAATGAGCTGGAGAAGGAAATGGTAAACCACTCCCGTATCTCTGCCAAGAAAACCCCAAATGGGGTCATGAAGTCAGACACGACTGAGCAATGATAAAAATCGCTCTTCCACGGGGCAGCTTCTCAGGTATTGAGAGATGATTTCTTCCTCCATCTATCCTCAGGCTTCTCAGATCCAGACATGGCATGATCTAAACCTGACTTAGATGTGGATTTGAGAATGGAAACTGCAGCGTGAGCATCCAAGGGGAGGAGAGCCTTTCCTGGTTCTAGGCTGCTTTCTCCCTGGCTAGGGGAGGCCAGCTGGGGCCCCTGCAGCATGGCCCCCATGGCCCTCATTGTTTTTCCTCATATCGATGCCAGGAGCCTGGAAGAAGATGAAGTTGATGCACTCCTTTGCTTTCATTAGGACGTATCCTATTTTTTTAAACCAAACTAATTATGCCATCTCTTAGAGCTTCAAGTGGGTGAGTCCCCAGCCAACTGCACACCTGTCCTTCTGGCCCGTGACAAGCCTTGGTTTCATGAATCCTGTAGGGCAAGCTTGGCCTGTCTTCCCACTTGGCCAGGGGTAGATTGCATGCAAGACAATAACCTTCACCCCAGCGCTTGAACTTGACTTTCACAAGGGTGCACACTGTTGATAGCCTTCACCGACTGTCTCCTCCCACCTTTCCCTCTGAAATTCTACTCAAAAGGAGGGCTCTGAAAGTAATTTTGCAAGCACCTGGGCCCCAGTTCATCACCACAGCTGGGAAACTTCATTGATCTTTGAGGTCAATGTTCTTTTTATCGGGCCACAAACTGTCCCAAAGTTACCCAGCAGTCGCTGGAAATGTTCGTGAGAATCTAGGTTGCCTGACAGCTTTGTCCTTGCTTCAGCAATCCCCAATTGATTTGGGTTCGATTTGCTTCCGGTGAGGTTGCTGGCTTGTTAGAGAGGAGAGAACAGAGATTAATCGTTTAGACAGGAAGGACTCATTAAGTGCCTGCTGTATGTCAGGTGCTGGCTCAAAAGAGACGTGAGACGAGCAAATTCAGAGCCGTCTCCACTCCGGATGTTCACGTGAATTATTTGTGCCTGACCCGTGGCAGAGCCTTCCTAGCCCATATCAGTCTGATCAGCCGCAGCTAAAGACGCGGGACCTCGATCCTGATGTGGTGGCGCCATTTTGGTCCTCTTCAAGCATGAAGGACAACCAATCCTATACTAATACAGAAAGAAGAGCTTCCGTTCACCCGGGATGACGTATGTCCATTTAGGCTTTCTTTTCCTTTCAAGTTTCAGGTTTGGTAACGACCTTCAGGCCAGAGAAAGAAGGTCAGGATGGCTGTTCTACTATCACTCTCTGTGGATGTCTTTCTCCCGGTCTGGAGGGGTGCGGTAGGCAGGCTGCCCCAGCAGCCCCGGCTCAAAGAGTTACCAGGTAGACATCAGTGAGGAGAGGTGGAAAACAGCCAAGTGGGAATGGACAGTACTGACCAGCTTTCCTCCAGCCCCAATCCATTCACCCCAGGCAAATGGCCAGGACTTCTGTTAGTTCTCCATCTTCTCTGACAGAGACCAAACAACCACATTCTTCTCTTTAAAATAATGATATACCAGTCACTGACATTTCTAATGGAGAGAATTTGAACCTTGCCTCAGACACCAGCTGTGTGACCCTGAGCAAGTCACACTCTGTGCCTCCGTTTCCTCTTCTGTAAAAAAGGGATACTAGGAGCATCTGCCTCATAGGGTTGTTATAAGGATCGAATCAGAAAATATATATGAAGCACTTTGCACGTCTAAAAGCACTGTGGAAATATTAGCTGCCGTTGTTAAGATTTGCAAGGCACTTTATATTTGTAACCTACTTTGAACCTCGCGGTATCTCAGTGCATCAAGGCTCTAAAAGGGTATATCGCCTAAAACCTTAGGTGCTTTTTGGCTCGTGATCTTGCCCAGGGTCACACAGCTTGTTAGGGGTGGTAGTGGTAGTGTGGATTCTGATCCAGTTCTTCCTAATGTCAAGGCCAGCCCTCTGATCTTCTACAACATGATGTCCAACATTAGACCGAGGCTGGTAGCAACAGGTAATGTTTTAGGGTGTTGTTGAGGCGAGGGGCTAGAGAGCAGGGACCCAGGAAGTAGATTGGTGGGAATTAGGTGGGGAAAGAAGGGATGGAAACAGCCACATTGACAGCACATAGGACTGAAAATCTAAACGTCCGCTGCTCTAGGCTCTGAGGAAGTCTGTATGTAAGAAAGTGTGATAGGGAAGAAAGGGACCGCCACCTTCTGCTAGCAACAACTGGGAGGAGAGAAAGGACTCCTTAGGGATGGATGTCTTCCACTCCCGGATAACCTCCGGGCTTAGGAACCCTCAGAAAAGAGGCTGAGGTGCCCAACAGGAGGCCCCCGTCCTCGGGCCGAGGCCTGGGATGGAGGAGAGCAGGTTGTATTGGGCTGAGCGTGCCCAAGTTATTTAATATACCAAGAGCGAGGGGCAGCATGTGGACAACTGCCAGACAACTGAGACCCATGTGACGACAGACGGGGAAGGGCCTCTGGTGTGTTGAATATGACCTGGAGGGAGATTCTGGGGAGAACCGCCCGGGATGGGCTCCAATCTGTACTGGTACATGCAATAGCTCCACTCCTGCTGGTGAGATCATTGATCCGTCCAAATACGGGGGCAGACCCTCAGCTCCTGGGGTGTTTCTTAGTTGTCTAGCTGCCAGGCTGATCAAAGTAAATCTTATTTATTGTGTCTGCTGTGTTCCTTCTTCTCGCTCCTTGAAAGCGGGGACTGTTTCTCTATGGTTTTTGCATCACCACACGGGGCATGAAGACGGGTGCTTAATAAGTGCTTCGGGATTGATCCATTCCAAGAGTAAATAGGAATTTGGTTTGTTTTGTCACAGAATATGAGTATGTCGGAAGCCAGGGGAATCATCCTCGGGTACCAGGTGACCATCCAGGAGGTGCCCGGGGACAGCTTGGCCGTGCCCCATACCCTGGAGAACTTGACCTCGCACACTCACTTTGCCGTGGTTCTGCCCCAGAACGACTATGTCGTAGCTGTTTCCGCAGTGAACTCGGAAGGAAGCTCCTCCCCCTCTCGGACCTTCATCCCCCGTCAGCCCCGCAAAGGTAGGACCGACCTCTGGTTAGCTTTAGCTTGCGGAATGTTCATGCCCAGGAAAGCCGGCAGGTCATTTCTTGACGGTTATGCTCTGGAGCGCTCCTTGCCCCTGGACGCAAACCCCGTCGCAGCCCGTTCTGTTCAAATGCAGTCCTCGCTCTAATGAAAAGACAATTGAGTCCCCCTGGGATGCACCGTTGGGATAATAAGTCCTTAGTCTGGGATGAGGCAGCATCTTGGAGGACACAGAATGTGGGCTCGGGCCCAGGAACACCTAGATATATGAAATTATGTGCTATTATTTGGATATAGACACACATCTATTTATGTATATGTATCCATATGTATATATCTGTATGTGGTGCTTTAAGATTTACAAAGCAATTTACGGATATCTCTTCTTCACAACAATCTTGGGAATTTCTAGAAACTATTATTATCCCCATTTTACAGATGAGGGAATTGAGGCAAACAGAGATTAAGTGACTTGTCCAAATTCAGTGTTTTGTTCACTTCAATGGCAGAGGAGTTAATGAAGCTGAATCCATGGGAGCACAGATTTAAGCAGAAACAGAGCGGTGGGCACAGCTTCCAGAAGAGAAAACTGAAGCCCAGAGAGGTACGGTCCGTGAAGGGCCCAGGGCTAGTCAGCGGAAGAGCTGGAAGGAGGAGCCGGGCTCCGGGGCTGCCAGCAGCAGAAGGCTGGGGGTGGTCTGTGAAAGCGTGGGAGGTGGGGGAGGCAGGGCAGGGCCGGTGGCTGAGGCCTGAGGTCCAGCCCAGAAACATGCCAGGGAAGAGGCAGGTCTTCGGAAGAGTGTCCGAGCAGGAGAGGGGCCTGCCTTGGTGCAGAGGCAGGACAGGTGGAGCTGATGGCCTGGCTGTCGAGTCAGAAGCGAAAGCCACGTGTGTGGGATGGGGCAGAAGGAGCTGCATGGCTGAAAGAGAGAGCGTCAGCTGGCAGAAGTGGGAACAGCGCAGAGGCAGCTGGCACTCGGCCTCTGATCTGAGCAAGTAAACGCTCAATGAGAGATTTCTTCAGTGCTTGCTAATTCAGGAAACGCTGACTGAGCATCTCCTGTGTGCAGTGATGTGTACCGATGTGCACACACGTGATACTTCATAGTAAAATGTAAAATACATGAACTATAAGAAGCACTATATAAAATATATAACATATTATATAGTAGATACGTATATAATGTATTCTATCATATATATAGATATAATGTGTTTGTTATAATGTATCACAATATATTATATATAATTATCAATATGTTGTATAATAGATGTAATACATATAATGTATTCTATAATAGATGTATAGATAGGGTATATATAATATATCACAATGTATTATATGTAATTATCAATATGTTGTATAATAGATATAATATGCACAATATATTCTATAATAGGTGTATAGATAGCATATATAATATAATGTATCACAATGTGTTATATATAATTATCAATATGTTGTACAATAGATATAACATGTATAATGTATTGTATAATAGATGTATAGATGGGGCATGCATAGTACATTATACAATATCACCATGTATTATACATAATTATCACTATATCACATATGCATATAATACACGATCCCTGATCTCTCTGAAATGTACAATCTAATAGAAGAGATGAGGACCAAAGGATGACAGGTTTGGAACTGGAATCAATTAAGCAACAAACATTTATTAAGCCTTTTCTATATGCCCAGTGTTGTCTTGGGTACTTGGGATACAAAGGAAGGAAGGAAAAAAAAGAGAAAGCCTGCCCTCCAGGAGCTTCCATTCTCTCACCAGAAGTACTAGAAGGGGCCCGAGGCCATCTGGTCCAAATGATGAGAAAACAGAGGCCTAAGAGGTAGTAAGTGAGCAGTGGGATTTGAACCCGGGTTTTCTGGCCCCCAGTGAGGTGCTTTTTCCACAGAACCAGACCACGTGTGGACAGAATCCTGGCCGTGGCCTCAGTGGGCCCGAGTCCCATCACTAGCTTTGGGGCCCTGGTCACATCAGCGGCTTTCTCGTAGGCCCACTTTCCTCTGGACTGGACACTTTTAGGGCCCCTTCCTGTGACGAGCCTGTAATTCTAGGCTGGTTTGATGTGTCTGGAAATGACGATAACACCAAATACGGCCCAAGGGCCGAGAAGGAGGCTGAGGAGGAGGAGGCCGACGGAACTCCAGGAGGATCTGGTGCAGGATGGGAGAAGAGGAGGCAGGGAAGGGCTGTAGGCTGCTCACAATGTCCGTGGTGGCGTGGGCCCAGGGAGCCAAGGAGTGGTCTTTCGGTTTGGTGGGAGCAGCCCAGCCTCCTGAATGCTGTCTAGGCTGCCTCTGAGTTAGGAAAACCTGGGTTCAAGCACACACCAGCTAGGGGACCCTGCCTGCCTCTGCCCCAGGAGCACTCGGGGACTTTCTAGGAATGATATGTAGGATCCATGGAAGTATTTAAGAGGGAAGGCCTTGGAATTAGGAGGGGTTGAGGAAGGCTCCCTGTAGAAGGTGGAATTTTAGTTGAGACTTAAAAAGAGCCCGGGGGTCCTGAGACAGACTACATAGGTCCTATACTCCAGTACAAATTAATAATAGCCAACATTTGTGAAACTTCAAAACACACATTTGAACCTCAACAGTCCCGTGAGGTGGGTGCCATTATTCTTCCCATTTTACAGATGAAGAAACCGAGGCAAACGGAGGTGAAGTGACTTATGCAGGCACACAACCAGTAATGGCTGAGACGGGATCCTAACTCGCATCTTCCCCCCAGCAAGTCCAGAGGCTTATTCACTAGCCCAGGCGCCCTCACTATTTCCAAGGTAGATGATGCCCAACGTGGCTTACACTTCTATAGCACAGTGAGGTTTGCAATGCATTTTCTTCCTAACTATCGTATGAACTAAGCTGGGAAAGCATTATTGCCTCTACTTTACACATAAGGAAACTGAGGCCCTGAGATGCTAACTAATGTGCTAGGAAAGCGTGAGAGCCAGAATTTGAACCCAGGCCTCAGACTTAGAAAGATATGGAGACTGACTGAATGTGGAGAGGGAGAACGCACAAGTTCTACAAAGACAAAGGTTCTAGATGGGTTCTAGAAAGATAAGGATTGAAAAAGACAAATTAAAACAAAAAAACTTGAGAAAGATGAAAAAAATTGCCTAGAAAGAGATGCCAATGTGCAACTTTTGCAAACAGAAGTGATGGGAAACAAGGAGGGAACCCACCAAAAGGTCATCGCCTCAGTCTGGGAGAAGCTGGGTGAGACCTGCCTACAGCTGGAATCTTGAGAACAGAGACAAAGGGGCCAGTTTAAGGAATATTCTGGAAGAGGCTGGCAGAACTAGTGAGAACGGGACACGTGATGGAGGAGGTAACATGGAGAGTATAGCATCGGGTGGCCCAGAACCTGGGTTCAAATCTCACCTCTGACGCCTACTGCCTGTCTGACTTGGGCACGCCATTGACCTCTCTGGACCTCAGTCTATTCATCTGTGAAATGGCAGCGTTGTGTGAGGTGGCCTCAAGGCCTTTCCCAGCTCTCTGTCTGTGATGCCACGACTCCTCACCTCCATGACTGCCTCTGATGCATCTCCCTTCCTCTAGTCCTCTGGAGGAGAAAGATGGAGCTTGGTGTTGGCATGTTGATGTCTCCACGCTAGAAATAACTCCCACCGGCAGCAAGACATGAGGCCCTTCAGAAGAGAGGGTGACAAGGCACGATGACAATGAAGAGTACAGAGAAGGACCTAATGACCTAAAATCACCTACTAAACACTTTAACGTTCATCCCAGCCATCTTTATTCACTCGTCAGATCATGGATCTAGAGCTTCAAGCAAGGGAACTTGGGGCCATCAATTCCCACCCCTTCATTTTACAGGTGAGGAAATTGAGGCACAGAGAGGTCAAGAGACTTATCTAGAGTCACATAGCCACCAGGTGAGGCAGGACTTGAACCCAGATCCTTATAACTCCACATCCAACATTCTTTTCACTATACCGTGCCATCTTTTATGAACAGATGCAAAGTAAATCAGAGTCATGAAAAAACATACACGATGACTACAGCGTTGTAAACAGAAAGAGTCTCAACAGAATGATTGAAACTGGGTGTTGAAGTTATCACAATTGAGCTTGGCCCCCAGAAGGTATTCAGAGAGTAGAAGGCAGCGCCCCACTTTCTACACAGAGATGGGGGACTTGGGGCTGCATGATAGGGGGGACTTTTGCAGCGTGCTGCTTGGTTTACCTGAACAGTCTTTTCTTTTTTTCTCTTAGTTAATAAACATGTATTAAGCACCTACTGTGTGCCAGGCACTGTGCTAAGGACTGGGGATACCAAGAAAGTCAGGGCCGTCCCTGCTCCCAAGCAGCTCACGGCATAATTGGGGGACGACACAGAAACACTGATGTACAGCCAGCCCTGCAGGCTAGTTGGCAGCTGGGAAATGCTGGCAGAAGGTGGGATGAGATGGCAAGGAAGCCAAGGATTATGAACAATGGATCTCTAGGAGGGGGATGGAGGTGCTGTAAAAGAGGAGAGACCGAGGTCTCAGGGTTTGGGGTGTATTTCTGCCAGGGGATGCAATGGAAGTCGGGTATATACTGTGGATGGGCTCCATGTTGCACAGGGCATGGCCCAGAGCTCAGAAGGCCCTTTGTTAAGAGAGAAGAAGCTGGAAGATGTGAGGATTCAAAGGGCGCAGTTAGGGTCCTAGACGGCCACATGTGGCCTCAAGGCCGCAGTTTTCCCACCCCTGGCCTAGACAGCTGCCTCCCAGGGCCCTTCCAACTCGGACATTCTGGGATTCTGACTCGAAATTCTCCCCTGGCTTGGCTGGAATGAGTTGCTCTTACCAATTGCCTCTGTCTGTGCTTTTTCCTTTATAAAGCTCCTCAAAACATCTTGGCTAAACCTCAGGGGACAGACGGTATCGGGGTAACTTGGGAGCCTCCCCATGAAGCTGCTATGTTGGTCAAGGAGTATTTGGTGGAGTGGAGAGCCCTCGGCACGGGCAGCAGCCCATCCTCGCCTGTCAACTGGCGCCGACTTCCCACCGTCAACATGTCGGCCGTGATATCAGGTAATGAACTCGTCAGCCGTCCTCTAGAACGTTCTGTCATGTTGCCCTGAATACGAGTTATGCTAGTTGTGTGTGTGTGTGTATACATCATACTGAATATATACACACACATACGCAGGCAGAATACCACATATATGTGTATATATGTATTATGCATGTATATATATGTTATATTCCCTATATAGAAAATAATTACAATAGAGTATAGGTGGGCAGGTAGATAGAATCTCTGGTCTGGAGTCAGGAAGACTCATCTTCCTGAGTTCAAATCCAGCCTCAGACACTTCCTAGCTATGTGACCCTGGGCAAGTCACTGCACCCAGTTTTCCTCAGTTTCCTCATCTGTAAAATGAGCTGGACAAGGAAATAGCAAACCACTTCAGGATCTCTGCCAAGAAAGCCCCAAATGGGGTCACGAAGAGTCAGACATGACTGAAACGAATAAACAACAGTCCTATAAAGAGTCCAAATGGGAAGTTCCAACATGTGGTGAGGTCCCCCAGATGCCTCTGTCTGCAAATTTTGTGGCTTGCTTGTATCAAGCCCTAGAACACTGTTTGTCGGTGAGACCCCAGCCACTCAGAAGAGCTCAGCCTGCCAACCCACGTGGGGAAGAACAACTGGGTGAAGAACGCCCTTGTCCGGCCTGTGACAGAGCGTTGGCTGCCCTGTGCATTGAATTGATCGATCAGCACACATATTTTGGATGGACCCTGATGATGGACAATTGGCCGAGCCCAAAACTGAACAGGAAGAAGGATGCCCTTTGGAGAAAGTATATTGCTTTCAGTAACCGAGAGACGCTTTCTAGAGAAAATGACGACAACTTCCATCCTTTTTTTTTCCCCACACCAATCTTCTTCCAGGCATTTCTCCAAGACTCTGGTTGCCAAGCAGGTGCTACTCAGCATTGGCAGAGGGAGTTTTCTTATTACACTAATGAAATCACATCACAGGTCTAAGCCAAAAAAGAGCCAGAAGTGATTCTAGTAAGAGGATAATTAGGTGGCAGAGAATGCTGCACCTGAGTTCAAATCCTGCCTGAGACAATCACTAGCTGTGGCAAGCTACTCTCTGTGCCTCAGTTTCTTCATATGCAGGGGAGATAATATTTGTAAAGCACTCAAAAGAGCCATGCAAATGTTACCTCCAGAGTCTCAGAGGATTGTCTGGGGCCACTCTGACCACAGACAGAGGAGTTATTTCTGTGCATCAGTGGACAGTCTCTACACCTAGAGGTCCTTACACAGATGAAATCACAGAATCATAAGGTCACAGAATTAGAGCTGGAAAGGGCCTTAGAGATCATCAGGCACAAATCTCCTTATTTTACATATGAGGAAATTGAGGCCCAGGAAAGTTAAATGATGTGCCTTGTTGCACAGCTACTAAATGTCAAGAAGTGATTTGAACCTGGGTCTTTCAGACCAGTGGTATCAGATTCTTATAGAAAGGGATCCCTGCAGGTTGGCATATTGACTCAGAAAACCATTAATTAACATTATCTGTGTCGTATGGTATTTTTATTAATTTTGTCCAACATTTCTTAATTACTTTTTAATCTGGTTCAGAGGCACTGAAAGTTTGGCTGGCTGTGAGTTTGACACCTCTGTCCTAGACCCCAAGCCTTGGGCTCTCTCCGCAGTACAAGCTGCCTTCTCACAAAACCAGACTTCCCCCTAGATATCAAAAACATGCTTCCAGTGATGCTACAGGGCCATGGCTCATGAGTCACCACCATCTCAGAAGAATAAGAAAAAGTAACGGGCACCAAGGGGCCAAGGAAAGAGAGACGTGGCAGGCATCAGTTGGCTGTGGCACATTATTCTTGGAGGCTTGCATACACAGTATATTGCTGTTGTAGGCTCACACACAGTAAATGGCACAAACGAATTCCATTCCGGAGATGGGTGATTGGAAAAGAAGGTGAGTGATGGATAGCAGTTGGACAAGCTTGGATGCTACACCACAGCCAGGCCTAGTGGATGATCTTCAGTATATGGAGAACTTCCTCTATGAGAGGGACAGGAGGATGGGAAGACCAATTTAGTTGTGATTGGTTCCATTGGAGAGAATAGCCACATCAGGGAAATCATGGCTCCAGGGAAGCGCTGCTGCATCCCTGATACGTATCATCCTGTTAGATTCAGCCCATCTTCCTAGTCCCTCACAATCTTGCTGGCTTGGCCAGTAGAGGGGTCCCAGTGACCTTCTGAAGAGTACTTCTAGAAGGTTGATAGGTGTGGAAGCCAGGATTCATGAGGTGATGATGGGAGAAGGGCCACTGTGGCGTGGCACCATTGTGGATGGATAGCTGGCCTCAGAGACCTGAGTTCAAATCCTCCTCCCAACACAAATCCTGCCTTAGATACTGGGTAGCTGTGTGAGAAGTAATCGTCTAGTTTTTGCTAGATGATCCTGCATCTTCATTATGTCATTTCCACTGATAAAATCAGGCTGGTTTCCGATGCCGAGCCACTGGATAGGGCGTCGGACTCTGGTGGAAAGAACATCCCTCTGTGGGTCTTCAGAAGCTGCGGCTGCAGCTCCCACAGTGATGGCTGCCAAGAGGGCTCAGTACTTAAACCCAAACCCTCTCTCTCACCTCTCTTCCTCTCGCCATTCCTCCATGAGGTTTCTCAGTTGGTTCATCATGGTCAGAACTAGACTCCTCAGGCTTAGGAACGCCAGAGAAAAAAACCACCCACAAAATCCATTGACTCGGGTTTTGACCCAGACTATCTTTTGAGCCCATGGTCAGGGGACCGTTGATTTAACGCTGGAAGGAAAGGGAAAGGAAAACCTGGTCCAATCCTCTCATTTCACAGGGCCGGGATACTGAGTCCCAGGCATCTGAGGTAGGCGCCCAATGCCTAATGAGGACTGTCCTCCCACGAGGAGGAGTCCACACAAGGTCACGCCATCCCTTCCAGTATCTCACCATAAGCCTTCAGATTGGGGCCCAGGCAGGGGCCTCCCTCCAACCTGTAATTAAGATTGCCAAACCTCACCAGCCAGGCGCAGCTCATTGGTACACTGGTTTGTGACCTGGGTGGAGTGCCCATGGCCCTAGGCGGTGCTCTGCTTCATTCCCACGTGGGTGGAAAAGCAGAAGGTGTCTCAGGAGCTCACCTGCGGGAGGGCCGCACAAAACGTAACTCTGCTCTTGCCCTATGAGTTTCTGAATGGGCTTGGGGCTATCTCGTCGTTTGGAGCTAATGCTGACTCTTCCCTTATTTCACTTGGCCAAGGTAAACTTGGCACAGTCGCTGGGGATCAATACCCCAACAAAGGCACCTAGGGTTATTTATTTTTGGAGGGGGACGCCTTTTCATGCTTGCTCCCAATATCAGTAGTGCTGGCTCTGGACACCTACTGCTTAATGGGATTTCTTGGTTAACATTAGGTTGTGTTCTGAAGCCACGTGTCTGTCTGTCTGTCTCTCTCCCCTCCCCTCTTTTTTCCCTATTTTTTCCTATTCCCCTATTCTTTTTTCTCTCTTTCTATCCCCTTTTCTCTCTCCCTCTTTTTCTCACACTTTCACACATGCACAGGCATGAGCAAACACACACACACACACACACACACACACACACACACACATACACACACCCCTCTCTCTCTCTCTCTCTTCCCGGGAACTTATAAAACCTGGGTGATCCATCCAAAGAGAAAGTGCTCATTCCCACAGATTGGCCAACTATTCAGCTACACCCCCAATGGGGCCCCGTTTGATTATTAGATGATTGTAATAGGCTCTTAATTAGTGGCCCCGCCTGGTCTCCTCCCACTCTAATCCATCCTCCTCTTAGCTGCCAAAGATAGTCCTCGACAAGCCTAGGCATGACCTGTCATTCACCTCCTCAGTAAATGCCAGCAGCTCCCGTGTCTTCCAGGGTCCAACAGAACATCCTCTATTATTTGGCATCAAGAGCTCTCCATACCTTGGTCCTTTCCTGCCTTTCCAGAATTCTTACACTGTGCCCTCTTCCAGACACTCCCGGCCCCATGGCCTCCTTGCAGTCCCACATACACTCCACCCCGTGCTCCCGAGCTGGCTCTCTCCAAGCCTGGAACACCCACGCTCCTCACATCTGCCCTGGCTTCCCTGGCTTCTTTCACAACTTGCCTCCAATCCCACCTTCTGCAGGAGACCTTTCTCAGACCCCTGATGCTGGTCCTCCCAAGATTACCTCCATTTCCCCCGTATGTATCCTGTATGTCCATCACCGTTTGCACATTATCTCCCTTATTAAAGTGTGAGCTCCTTGAGAACAGGTAGCTGGTTTTGCCTTTCTATATATCACCAATACTTAGCACAGGGCCTAGCACATAGTAGCAATAATAGCTAACATTTATATAGCACGTTAAGGTTTACAAAGTGCTTTACAAATTGTATCTCATTTGATCACAACCACCCTGGGAAGTAGGTGCTATTATTATCCCCATTTTACAGGTGGGGAAACTGAGGCAGATAATGGTGAAGGAACTTACCCAGGGTCAAACAGCTAGTAAGTTTCTGAGGCTGGATTTGAACTCAAGTTTTTGTGACTTCAAGGTTAGGGCTCTGTCTATTGTGCCAACCAGCTAGTTTTATTTCTGGAGTTTAATTAATGCTTGTTAACTGACTGCATTGTGTTATTGAGGTTTTCGTGGCAGGTATGTTGGGGTGCAGGCTGCTGCTGCTTCAGAGGTGAAATGTTTCTCTGCTCAAGAATGATAATGTGTATTGAGCAATTTGTAGTATGTAAGCAGTACGTAAATAATAGTTATTAATATTAGGTTGTATATAAGTATATTCTATATATAAGTATTGTACACACACATACATACATATATACCTCCACATATATATATATATATATATATGTATACATATACACACACATACATTTATAAAGTTAGTCCAACAAACATCAAGTTCTTCCTTTGTGCCCTATACTAGGCACTGGGGAATGATACAAAATTTAAATAAAGTACATTTCCTGTCCTCATGAAATTTATGTTCTACTATAGGAATGAGAGGAGTGTGGATAACAATATTCTTGTTTTGGTTTGTTTTTACTTTTTGGTGAGGCAATCAGGGTTAAGTGACTTGCCCAGGGTCACATAGCTAGTAAGTGTCAAGTGTCTGAGGTCGACAACAATATTCTTTAACAATGATTCTCAAATCCTTTGGTCTCCAAGCCTTTTTCTGCTTTTCAGAATTATCAAGGATCTCAGGAACCTTTTGTTTATGGGGGAATCATAGCTATCAACATTTACCATATTAGAAATTTAAAATGATAAAAATGTTAAAATACTGGTTCATTTAAAGTAACAATTACAAACACATTATATATTAACATAAATAATGTAATTTGTGAAAAATAACTGTTTTCCAAAATAAAAAAAAATTAGTGAGAAATGTAGCATCGCTTTTACACATTACGCATATTTTTGCAAATCTCTCTAATGTCTGGATGGATGGAAAACAGTTGGATTCTCTCTGCTGCTATAGCTGTGCTGTGATGTTTTGATTGAAGTCTCTGAAGAAAATCTGTCATTGCATGGATACGTAGTTGGAAAAGGGAGACTTATTAATAGGCAAATACATGTCCTCCTATTATTATAAAGGTAGTTTTGACCTCATGGGACCAGCTGAAATTTCTCAGGGGCTCCCAAGGGTCCTCAGGTCACACTTGGGGAACCCCTGCCCGAGAAAATTACATAATAAGGGTATTAGGATGGTGCAAAGAGGAGGCCTAAAGGTCAATAGCCCATCCCTGTCTGAGGGTCATCAGGGAAGGCTTCTTTGCAAGAGGCGTGTTTGAGTTGGACTTCAAAGAACGAATAGAAATTCAGTAGGCAAAGAGAAGGATGGAGAACATTTAACGGAGACAGCCTGGTACGGTGGAAGGAGCAGAGTGAGCTGCGGACTCAGAGGACTGGGGGTGCTACCTGTGTGACCACGACTTAAGTGGACGCCCCCTGAGCTGTAAACCAGGGGAGGGGGCTGCCAAAGAAAGGGGGAGGGGATGGAGTTGCCAGGCTGGATGGGACAAGTGAGGGGTGACTCGTACCCAGGGTGTTGAATAGGGGTGCCCACGTTCGTTGCTTTTCTGGCTGTCCTCTGTGATCAGACTTTTTTATTTTTCCATGCAGAACACGTAAAACCCCACGTGTGTTACCAGATCCGCCTGTGCGCCCTGTGGGGGGACGGAGCCGGCTGCGCCAGGACCTGGGCTGATCTGACCAGCAAAGGTGCCAGACTCTGAGCCCCTTGGGAAGGCAGGGGGGCGGGACGGCTTCCAGGGAGGCTCAGGCTCTCCTCTTATACTTTGTTCTGTTTCACAGAACCCCTAACCGGCCCCCGTGTCCAAAATGCCACAGCGGGGAAAGGCACAGCGACCGTTACCTGGGACGAAATCCCTGCTCAGGACCAAATGGGCTGCCTCCTTCATTACAAGATCTACCTGAAGGAGCTGCGCTCCCAGTCTCCATCTCACATCTTTGGTAGGTGGACGTTCCAAAAGCCTGGAGCGGGAGGGGCAGGCAGACCCCCACCCCCACCCCAAGCCTCCCAGTCCTTTTCGGAAGTGACTGAAGGTTCAGTAAGGTTTGGATGGCCATGGTCAAGGCACTGCCCCACCAGGGACCTCAGATTTCTCCCTAGTAGAAAAAAAAAAAAGCTTGAAGTAGCTACTTTTATGGGGGGGAGGGGGAAAGGGGGCAGAGGCGGGAGGAGAGCACTGCTTATTGAGTCAGGAGAACGTGGGTTCAAATCCTGACTGCTACTTACTGCCTTGGTGACCTTGGGAGAGTCACAACCTCCTGGGCTTCAGTTTCCTCATTACAATTAGGGGGTCAGACTAGATGTCCTCTCTATCTTTCCCAGTCCTAAATCTATGATCCTTTCCTCCTTCTATGCTCCAGGCACCAAAAATACAAAAACAAAAATTCTGCGCCCATAGCCCCCAACTTTTGTACAGAAATGAGCGTGGTATTGTGCTATTAAATGACATTTCAGGTCAGGAACAGCTGTCGGAGAGGGACTGGGCCGCATTTGATGAGCCAAGGTACATTATCACGTATGTAAAGGACCCACATGAACCATAAACATGCAAATTCAGTATGAAATAGTCTAGTATTGGTGGGGCACCATGGTACCGTAATAAATACTGGCTCTGGATTCAATGGACCTGGGTTAAAATCCCATTCCTGGAGCAGCACCTGTGAGAAATTGGAAGAGTCCTTTAGCCATGGGCAGCTAGGTGGTGCAGTGGATAGAGCATCAAGCTTGGAGTCAGGAAGACCTGAGTTCAAATGTGGCCACAGACACTGACTGGCTGTGTGACCCTGGGTAAGTCACTTAAAAATAAAATATACACACACACTACACACACACACACACACACACCTTTTCCCCAATTACACGTAAAAACAATTTTTAATATGAGGGTTTTTTTTAGTTCCAAATTCTATCCCTTTCTCTCCCCTCCTCCCTCCCTGAAATGGTATGCAATCTGATAAAGGTTATACATGTGCAATCATATAAAACGTTTCCATATTAGTCATTTTGTGCAAGAAGACTAGGAAAGAAAGAAAAAGAGGAGAGGAAAGAAAGGAAGGAAGGAAGGAAGGGAGGAAGGAGAAAGAAAGATAGCATGCTTCGGGTCTATATTCAGATGCCATCAGTTCTTCCTCTGGAGGCAGATAGCATTTTCCATCATGAGTCTTTTGGGACTGTCTTGGATCACTGCATTACTGAGAAGAGCTCCATCATTCTCAGTTGATCATCGTGACAATGTTGTTACTGTGTCCAATGTTCTCCTGGTTCTGCTCACTTCACTTTGCGTCAGTTCACGTAAGCCTTTCCAGGTTTTTCTGAAATTATCCTGCTTGTCATTCCTTATACCTGGGCAAGGCACTGTTTGCCTCAGTTTCTTCTTCTGTAAAATGAGCTGGAGAAGGAAATGGCAAACCACTCCAGTATCTTTGTTAAGAAAACTCCGGGGGGGTGGGGGGGGGTAGTTTCACAACCTAAACGACTGAACAACAAGCCTGTTTCCTCTTCTGTAAAATGAGCTGGAGAAGGAAGTGGAGAACCACTCCAGTATCTCTGCCAAGAAGACTCCAGATGGGATCATGAAGAGCTGGACACTCTGAACAACAAAAAAAGCTATCGAAATATTCATAAGCCCCAGGTGAAGAATCTGCGGACTAGTCCGAGAACGATTGTATGCGAACACTATCGTCAATATTGCATATTGGGAGGGAGCCTGGATTTGAAGTTGGGAAGACTTGGGTTTGTGTCTTACCCCTAACATATCCTGGGCTGTGTGACCCAGGTAGGTCACTTCTCTGCAGGCCCCCAGGCAGCACTTCTACGACTGTCAGCTGCAGATCTGCTTTGGTAGAGGGAGTTTCCTCACTGGGAGTTCCCCATATCAATGAAATCACAGGTTCAGCCCATAGACCATTTCTCTCATCCCCAACTCCCTCACGTCCCCCCAATTTGTGATTTCATTGGACAAAAAGCTTCCAGTCAGCAATTTTCTCTGTCCATGCAAAAGGTTTCCTGAGTAGTCAATCAGTCATCAAGCATTTATTAAGGACCTACTATGTGCCCGGCACTAGACTAAACACTGTACAAATATTATCTCATTTGATCCTCACAGCAACCCTGGGAGGTAGCTGTTATTATTATCCCTGTTTTACAGGTGAGGAAACTAAGGCAGACAGAGGTTGTGACTTGCCCAGGGTCACACAACTTACTTAGTGTCTGAAACTGGATTTGAACTCAGTCTGCTGTACTCTCTGGGCTATGATACCACCTAAGCCTGAATTCATATGATGCTCTGAGCTTATTCTTGGAGACTTGATTTCCACATTTGTGAAACATCTCACAGTTGTCAGGAAAGTGCTTTGTGATTGCTAAAAGTGACATACAAATGTGAGTTATTACCATTATCGTTATTATTGGTACTGATGCTCCAACAGTTCATTTTCTTCTACCGGATAAACACATGGGATTATCCTTTGACCCAAAGTCTATATTAGAACTGAGAGGCTGGGTGACTCAGTGGGAAGGGGGCAGGATTGGAAATCAGAGATCCTGGATTCCATCTTGTTGCTGGGCTATACAACTTACCTGACTTCTCTGTTCTCAGTTTCCTCATCTGTAAAATGGAAAGAGTTGGATTAGATAGTTGCCAAAGTGTCTTCTAACTCTAAATCTTATGATCTCTTGATGTCACAACAGACTTTTGGGTTCCCAAGGGCCTGGTGCTAAGTAGCTGGCCAGGCCTCAGTCACCTCATCTGCTCAGTGGGGCTAGTCATGCTCACCTCACCCACAAGTTGTCTGGCATTAATTGGAGTCTGAGAAAAACCACAACTCTCAGATACGAGGCACAGTCAAAATGCTGAGTTACATTATTTACATTAGGTAGCCAGGACAGACTCATCCCTGCCTTGTGAGCAAAGGTGCCCAGGCAAGGCTGTTTTTGCAGCCAGGATACAACCCTTGCCCACCCAAGGACCAAAGTAAGTTGGCTCCACTCTTGAGCACTTAGGAGGTCATTGGAGGAGTCGCTGATCCCCGCTGCAGCCCACGTTTCTTTGTAGGGGGGAAAAAGCCTTTGAGCATTTCTCGGAAAATAACTTTGGCTATACAGAACATCAGGAAACAAGAAAAGCATAAGGAAACTGAGTCTGCCAACATGATCTATATGGTTCCTACCATTTTGTTTAATAGCTTCACACCAGTGGAAATAGTAGGGCCCTTGTGTTTTAAAAAAATCTTTCCCTTTGAAAAACTACAGTGAGATGGAGAGAGATACAGAAAGAGATATAGATATATAGACAGGTAAAGAGATGGGTAGATTAGATGGATGGATAGATAGATGGTTACATTGATAGAGAGATGGATGGTTGGGTGGATGGATAGATGGAGAGATGGTTAGATGTATAGACAGATGGATGGATGGATGGATGGATGGAAAGATGGTTAGATGTACAGAGAGATGGATGGATGGATGGATGGATGAAGAAATGGTTAGATATATAGGAAGATGGATGGGTGGATGGAGAGATGGTTAGATGGTTAGATGGATGGTCTGTGCCGCCCTATTTCTGATTAGATAAGGCAAAAAATTCCCTATGGCCATGGAATGGAGCTTACTTTTTGTTGGGGCATAGCAAAGTTTTGGAAAGTCCCACATTTCCTTTCTTTAAACATTCCAGCCTTTCTTCCTCTCTCCATCCTTATCCCTTCTTTCAGAAATTCCCTATGAGGTGGGAAACACCACGAGGCTGATCAGAGGCCTCCGGCCTGGAGTCACTTACGTCTTGTGGATGACGGCCTCCACAGCAGCCGGAGAGGGCCCCCGAGGGAATGAGAGGGAGCTTTCCCTGGAAGGTAAGATCCAAGCTCAAGAGGGAGAGCTGCAGGTTCCCTCCATGGGAGTGTCATCCTGAGGAAGAAGCCCAGAGACGCCCAGCCTGCTCCGCCATCTTCCCCCAAGCTCTGCCCACAGCCCTATTTGGCCACCTCACTCAGGAGTTAAGCAACTTCTCTGAGACCCACACCAAGTTAGTGGGAGAGGCTAGAAAGCTAATGAAGGCACCTGCTCTTCCTACTGCACCATCCTCCCTCACCAGCAAGGGAATTAATATTGTTGGTCCCAACCTGTGATTTTATCAGGATGAAGAATCCTGGGATTAAAACTCCTTCCATAGCTACATATCAGGCCTTGTCAGCTACCTCTACGCTCGGCCCACGTGCCTTGCCCTGGGTCAGAGATAGTCAGTGGTACAGGCAGGCTTTGAACCCAGGTTTTTCTGACTCCCAAGCTAGCTCTCTATCCATCATCAAATGAGATAGCATATGCAGCACAATTGCAACCTCAACACGCTATCGAAATGTGCATTATTGTTATTACTGCCCCAACCTGCTCCTCTGTCAGTAGAAAGTGAAACTCTCAATAGACTCAGAGAATTCTTTTGCCCCAGAAGAGACTGTAAGCATCAACTACCCCTGTCCCTTACAGGTACATGGTTTCTTGGCCTTGCCCCCTTTAGAGTGTAAGCTCCTTGAGGGCAGGGACTGTCTTTTGCCTTTCTTTGTACCTCCAGTGCTTAGCACAGTGCCTGGCAGACAGTAGGTGCTTAATAAATGCTTACTGCCTAAGAAGACAAAGTGCTCAGGGATCCAGTGATTTGCCCCAGACCACACAGTTAGTCAGTAGCAGAGTTAGGACAGGAATCCAGGTCTCCTGAGACAGTTCAATTCAATTCAATAAACATTAGTTAAGCACCTACTATGTGCCAGGCACTGTATTTTTTATAGGAAAAGAGGCAAAAGGCAGTCCCTGCCCTCATGGAGCTTACAATCAAACAGGGGAGGCAACACGAAAATACATATAAAGCAAGCTATATACAGGAAAAAGAGGAGATAATAAACAGAGGGATGATGCTGCTTCCTCCCTGGAGGGGAAAGCACAGGCTTTCTAGAGGGGCAGCAGAGGTCGGTGTCTAGGACTCAGAGTCAGAAAAGACCCGAGTTTAAGTCCTGGCTCCAACACTACCTAACTTGGGTGGTTCTGGGCAAGTCCCTCAACCTCAGAGAGCCTCAGTTTCCTTACCTATAAAAATGATTAGAACCTGCACCACTTCCCTCGCAGGTTGGGACAAAAGCATTTTATAAACTTTTTAGTGCGATGGCTGTGAGTTGTTACCAGAACATGAACCTGAGCTTCTGTAGGAGGAGGGTTCATGAGATGTTGGCCGGACGTCCCTGAGCAATCACTGTAGCCAACCTGTGAGGGACTTCCTGTTTGCACAGAGCTCTTCATTCTGTATTTCACAGCCAGCCTCCAAGGCAGCTGTTACTGGTGTTATTATTCCCATTTCATAGATAAAGAAACTAAGAGAAGTCATCAGAAAGCGAGGAAACAAGGATAGCACTGTCATGTGATGGTCACGTTTTCAATCCACGCATTCACAAATGAATTAATGAAAAAAGCATTTATTAAGCACTTGTTGTGTTCCAAGCACTACGCTAAGCCTTGGGGATACATGGGAAGTTTGAGACAGTCTCTGCTCTCCAGGAGAACGCTCTGACTGGGGGAGGTGACACATAAGACAGAGGTAATTTGGAAATTATTTTCAAAGAGCATCGGGTCTCGAGTCAGGGGACCTGGGTTCATATCCCATGCATGTAATTGTTTGTGTGTGTATGACTTTGGGCAAATCACTCTCTTCTTCCTTTTCTCTCTCCCTCCCTTCCTCCCTCCCTTCCTCTCTCCCTTCCTTTCTTCCTTCCTTTCTTTTCCTCTCTCTCTCTCCCTCCTTCCCTCCCTTCCTCTCCCTCTTCCTTCCTCCCTTCTTTCCTTCCTTCGTTTCTTGTTCTTATGAACCCAAATTTTCAATCCCAATTCAAGACTTTTCATTCATCCCTCACTAGAGCAGCTGTCATCTCCTTCCTTCCCTTTCTGCACAGATGTCTGACACATAAGCCATTTTTCCAGCATCTCCTCATCATCTGTGTCCACGGTAAAATCTGAGTGACACAATCAGGTTGCCCCAGCCACCCTGTCCACACTGCCTGGTGGTGTGGCTTTATTTGCATGAGTTGCAAGCTCCAGACAAGTTGTTCTAGCTTTTTATTGGGAGGTTAATTAGGGTGACAGTCTCAGAGTCAGCTCATCCCTACCTGCTTACGTGGAAAGCGGGCAGAGGTAGGTTGGCAAAGGATTACGACAGCATCATGGCCCTAGAGCGGGAGGGACCCGGGCGGCTTTCTTGTCAAGTTCATAAACACTGGGTGCCCAGGATGTGCCAAGCGTAGAGCTGAACTCTGAGAATACAAATATAAGCAGAAAGACAGTCCCTGCCCGCAGGGAGCTTACATTCTAGTGGGGGACGACAGCACCTAAAAGGAAGGAGGGGGGAGTCTGGAATGAAGGCATGACTGGCTGGAAAGTTTTTCTTAAAATGGAGGTTCTGGGAGGAACCACCCAGTCCAAAGAAGGGGCCACAGAGGTGGAAAGCATTTCAAATGGGAGAAGCCCAGGGGTGAGGTAACTTTTAGGGAGAGGAGGCTTCTGGGGCACGGTAGAAACCACCTGGAGGCTCAGGAGTGGAGGCTGGAGAGGACTGAAGACTTAGGTGCTTAATAAATGCTCCCTGACTGACCAAGATCACCCAACTGGGTAAGCCCCTGAGGCAGGATTTCAACCCAGGTCCTTTGATCGCTGGCTTTGGAGCCAGAAGCCCTGGGCTGGAATCCTGGTTGTGCCCTTTACCAGATGTGTAGCTTTGAGCAAGTCTGGGTCTTGCATCTCTGGGTCTCAGTTTTCCTACCTGTAAAATGAGTGTAATAATAGTCATACTCCCCTATTGGATGGTGGTGAGGCTAAAGACAGTGTCCATAAAGGGATTTGTAAACTCGGAAGTGCTAAGTCAAGGATTAGCTACTCAACTCCCAGAACTCACCGTGCCCCTCACCCCAACCCAGCCCCATCCCTGCCTTGAGCTTCTCTCGAATTTCTCTCCAAACCTTCCTGCTGAAGGCCCAGTCCTCCTGCCTGAAGGGCTGGGAAATTCTAGAAGGTCCATTGTCTCTAATTTTAGCGTCCTCAACTATAAAATAGGGATGCTAACAGCACCTGCCTTGCAAGGCTGTTGTGAGGGTCAGATGAGGTTTGTGAAAGGTGCTTTAGCAAGGTGCCTGGAACACAGTAAGTGCTACATAAATGCTTATTCCCTCCCCTCTCCCCGCCCCCCCTCCGTTGTCAGGCACTATTAAGTACAGAAGGTGGCTGACAGCAGAAAGTGGCAGCAGGCAGAGGCCAGGATTGTTTCCATTAGAAACTACAGGATTGCTTTCAGAGAACCAAGTGGGAGTTAGAACATCATTCTCCACTAAAAAAACCCTTTCAGTAGTTTCCTATTGCTGCTGCTAAGAAAACTCCTCTCTGCCACGCTCTTAAAGGCCGTCCGATCTGGCCTGCTCCCACGTTTCCAGTCTTCTTCCCCATTCCTCCTCTGTGGGCACTCATTAGCTCACTCTCCAAGTTTTTCCCGTACATGACACACCCCAGCCTGCCCTGGGCTTGAGCAGGAGGGATCCCCCTCATCTGAAGTGCTTCCCCTTTTTCCTCTCTACTAGTAGGATCCCTGGCACCCCTCAAAGCACCTCAGAGTTCCCCTTTCTCCTGGAGACCTTCCTGACTGCCCTCTCTCCCCACCCTGTTATTGTCACTCTCCTCCCAGAATCACTTTGTGTAATTTTTACTTTGTCTGTGTCTTAGCCTCAGGAGAGTGAAAACTCCTCGAGCTACTTGTTTCCGTATCGATTTCCCCCACCCAGACACATAACAGGTCCCTGATAGGTACTTGCTGGGTTGAACTGAGCCTGCCGTTGTCATATAACTCAGTTTAATAAATCTACCTTCATAGGATTCGGAAGCAGGAAGGTTTGCAGTTTATAAATGATAAACCGAAGTGGAGCAAAGTTAGGGGACTTGTTTTTGGTCACGTAGCTAGTTCCACGTTCATTCCCCATTTATTTGAAGCACCGTGCTAAGGCTGGGGAGATGTTTGGGAAGATGGAGCCCTCGGGCGTCATCCCTTGACTGTGTCCTAGGAGTGGAAAGAGGTGTTTGGGCAGAGGCTGGCTGACGAGATAAACACAGAGGAGAGATTCCTTTCAGCTACAAGTCGTGTTATGGGGTTGCCTGGGTCCCTTCTAACTCTCACATTTTGTCACTTTGAGCATCGGGTCTCGCGTCAGGGGACCAGGGACTTCACATCCCTGCTCGGTGTATTACCTGGTAACCGGGTGAATCACTTCTCCTTCCTCTTGCCAAATGAGGCATTTGGGCTTGAAGATTCTAAGGCTGCTCCCATTCCTATATAATCCTGTAGACGAGATCATCAGCCATTCTGCAGCTTAGCTTGTTAGAGCAGGGGGCCTTGGCCTTTTTAGCATCTCGGACCCCTCCACAGGCTGCTGTCTGGACTCCTTCTCAGAATCATGTCTTTTTTTTTTTTTAATTTATTTATTTTTAGTTTTCAACATTCACTTCCCACAAGACTTTGAGTTCCAAATCTTCTCCCCATCTCATCCCTCCCCCCACCCCAAGAAGGCGTGCATTCTGTACACCCCTTCCCCTAGTCTGCCCTCCCTTCTATCTCTCTCCCCCTTCTCCTATCCCTTTCCCCTTCTATTTTCCTGTAGGGCAGGACAGATGTCAGAATCATGTCTTTAAATGCATCAAATAAATACAAAGGATTGTAAAGGAAACCAGTTATTATCAACAGATGTCTGTAGAATGAAAAAATGTGAGCAAATGAGATCTAGCAGATGGTCTAATAAGTACCGTATTTTCAAAATAAGTGATAATTCCACATATGTGTAACAACTCCAATGGGATATGAAAATATTTGTGATTTTTAATAATGACAAAGTCGCAGATTCTGACAATACTGCTTAGGTTTGTTGAATGATTCCCAATTGAAGGAAATGCTAGATTTCAGTTAGGGGTTGGTGAAAATAAAATGTCATTTTCCTCCCAGCCAAGTTTACAGACCCCAGGTTAAGAACCCTTGCAGGGCACCATTAGGATCCAGGGCTCCTAACTCCCAGCCAGTATCAGTTCCACTAAGCCCCCCTGCCTTTAGGCTCTTCCCTGGGCCAGACTGCAGCACTTTCTCTTAGGACTTCTGAATCATTCTTGGGGGCCAGCTTTAGTTGTGGGAGTCATTTCGATTTCCCAGCATGATCAACCAGGTCTTGGGGGCAGGGAGGGTAGAGATGAGATGCAAAGGAAGTTTATTAAGTACCTACTGTGTGTCAGGCACAGTGCTAATTGCTTTACAGTTATCTTACTTGATCCTCACACCAATCCTGGGAGGTAGGTGCTATTATATCCTCATTTTGCAGATGAGGAAACTGAGACAGGCAGGGGGGAAGAGACTTGCCCAGAGTCTTCACTTGGAAGGCAACTGAAGCCAGTTTGCTAATGTTTCAGATACTCCCGAATGGAACATTTTGGTGGTGCCGATTGCCGTGGCCCTCGTCGCGGTAGGGATTTTCTCCATGCCTCGAGTTCGAGCAAAGTAAGTTGACTGTTCAGCCTCATAGCACCAGCGCAGAGCAGTCATGGCAGTGGCTTCTTTGTCCTGGGCCTTGACCCTTGGCTTCCAGATCCCCCGTGGAAGCCGCCACTTCAGGGCACAACTCTCCTTACATATTTACACTCAGAAAGGGCAGAACTTCACAGATACTGTGTCCCATGGTATTCAGCCAGCCTGCTCCCAATGCTGGCCTTCAGGCTGCTAATACAAAAGCTTCGGGTCATTCAACAAAAGCATGTTTTGTTAAGCATATTCCCTTTCAGTGAAACAAGGATCCGCAGGCCTTGGGGGCCCCACGTGGGCTTTTAATTGGCTGCGTTCATTGCAGAGTGAAGTCTGTCTTCTGGGCCCTACAACCCCAGTGGTATAATCAAGAGATTCCAGACCCGGCAAACAGCATGTGGGCCAAGAAATACTCCATCATAGAGGTAAGTGCTAGATGCCTAGTCCGATTAGCCTCACTTCCCTATTCTGTAAGATGAGAAAGGACGACTTCTAGTCAGTATCGCTGTGTCATTGACAACTTTAAATTTCTACTTACTTACATCACAGCCCGTTTTCTTTCCGGATCCAAGGCCAACAGGAACAAGGGAATTTTCTGAAGCAGATACTCAGAGACTGAATGAAGATAAACTCTCTGGTAGTTGGACTAGTGGCAGGGCAGAAGGCATGCATCACCAGACCTGGAGACAAGAAGATTTGGGTTCACATCTTGCACTGCAGGGACACTTACTAGCTGTGTGACCCTGGGCCAGTCCCTTAACCTCCATGGGCCTCAGTTTCCTCATCTGTAAATGCCTATAGCACCCTTTATTTATGATCCTAGAACACTACTCTGCCAGCCTTGCTCTTCAGAAGCATTCTTTTTTCCTCCCTTGGTCCCAAACACCCGTCCTTCCATACACACAGGTAGATGTGGTGCTTTCAAAGGCACAAGTGGGGGCAGCTAGGTGGCACAGTGGACAGAACTGGCCCCAAAGTCAGGAGGACCTGAGTTCAAATCTGGCCTCGGACCAAACACTTGACACTCACTAGCTGTGTGACCCTGGGCAAGTAACTTAACCCCAATTGCCTAAAAACAAAACAAAAAAACAAAAACAAAAACAAAAACAAAACAAAACAAAAAAAAACAGACAAAGGCACAAGTGAACAAACCTCCTGGAGCATCTCATGCAGGCTGCTAGCGAATCTTGATCTCTCTGAGCCTCAGTTTTCCTCAAAACAAGGAGGTTGACTACATGGTTTCTAAGTCACTGAGATAATGTGTGTAAAGTCTTCTGCAAACTTTAAAGTACTCTATAAATTATTATTATTATTTGTTGTTGTTAAAAACTTTTCTGTGGCTACCCAGATGCCTCCCACCTTCTTCTTTTTTTAATCTTCCCCCAAATGCCCCAGGCTGGGATTGTCTACCCCCCAGGGCACTTCTGGCCTGGTGGAAAGGCACCTATGGTGATGTCACTAAAACATTTCCTGGCTCACTATTTTCTTTTCTTTTTTCTTTTTTTCCTTTTTTTGGTGAGGCAATTGGGGTTAAGTGACTTGCCCAGAGTCACACAGCTAGGAAGTATTATGTGTCTGAGGCCAGATTTGAACTCAGGTCTTCTTGACTCCAGGGCCGGTGCTCTATCCATTGCACCACCTAGCTGCCCCTTGGCTCACTATTTTCCAGGATCAAAGGTGCTCAGGCACCAAATTGGAAACTTGAAAGCAAAAGAAGTTTTCTAAATTCAAATGCATACCTTTGAATCCTATGCAAATAAATCATCTCCCTTTCCTTCCCTTGTCACTAATATACCTACAAGCCCTACTTGAAGTATTCCTTCACTCAAAAGCAGTTGGAAATTCCTGAAAGAAAAAAAAATTAAGGCAACTGAGATTCCCATTAATGTTTTAAAGTTAAATTTTTTTAAATCAGAAAAATATACCTTCTCTCTCTACCCCCACTCCCCCAGCCCCAATTGAGAAAGAAAAAGAAAACTTCTGGTTTTTTTTTTAAACTTCTGTTTTAAAGATGTATAGTCAAGCATAAGAATCCCCATTTTGGCCATGTCCAAAAATACAGATTTCTCGTTCTTTCCCCCGAGTTCTTCACTGTTCCACCAGGAGGTGGTCAGCATGTAACCCTGTCAGTCCTCTCAAGTCATGCTTGGTCATTACAACAATCAGAGTTCCTAAGTCTTCCAAAGTGTGTACGTCTTTCAGTATGGTTATTGTGTAAATTTTGCTGGGTCTGTTCGCCTTGGTCTGCATCTCTGAAAGCATCCCCTTCATCATTTCTTACATCACAATAGCATTCAATCACATTGTTATACCATGACTCATTCAGCCCTTCCCTAATTGACCAGTACCCCCTTGCCACCACAGAAAGAGCTGCTATAAATATTTCTGTATGTCTGTACATTTGCTTAGGATCAACCCTTATTCCTCCTTCTCTTCTTTCTCTGTTTCCCTGTTTAGTGAAATGTGTATCTGTATCCAAGTCTGTATATATGGTCTTCCTTCCTGGGACTAGTTTAGAGAACAATGTTTGTGTGGACTTCAGCTTGCCTGATTAGAGAAGATATTTTTTGCTACCTTCCCTCACCTATCCCTAGATGTATTCCTCTTCTCCGCCCTTTCTTTTCTTCATTTAAGATCATCAAAATATAATAGGACCACTCCTAGGCCTTCTAACTAGACTGATAATAGGGTCCAGAGGGGACACACATATCACCCTATGTTAGAATGTAAATAGTTGATCCATCGTTAGCCTCTTACGGTTACTCAGTCATGTTTGCGGGGTCTTTTTCATTCTTTGTACTTATGTCCCAAAGTGGAATGATCTGCTTTTATTTTAGTGGCGTGACTCTGGTCTACTGGATAGAGGGTAGGAGTAGCTGTGTGACCATAGGCATGCGCCTAACCTCTGTTTCAGGTTCTCTGCTGAATCATGGCCTTGTGGAACGTCAGAGCTGGAAGGAACTTGAGGAACCATCCTGGTTCAAACTCTACATCTTATGTTTAAGGACAAAATCAAGTCAACAAGCATTTATTAAGTGCCTATTGTGTGTGTCCAATACTGGGGATACAAAGAAAGACATGAAGGGGAGACACAGTTTAGCTAAGCCCCCAACTCTATCCTGGCCTAGCCTACAGTCAACATGAAGGCTCTGATTCTCTCTCTCATAAACGCACTAGACAGTATTTTATACGTGGTCAGGTCAGAACATACTTACAACAAAGTACCACCTAAGGGAGAAGGTTATAAAACAATGACAAGTGAGTCCAAAGAACTCACTTAGTCCAGCTGAAGGGCAGAATGTCGCACCTTACCACCACAATTCCTTGAGGAATCAGAATTCTAAAGCCAGAAGGGACCTCAGATCCTTTCTGGGCCAACATTACTGATGGGGAAACTGAGGCCAAGTGACTTGTTCAAACTTACAAGCATAAGATAGAACTCCCATCTCTAGGTTTCTGGTTCAGTGTTCTTTCCAGTACAATGCGCTCTATCGGAGTCCTCATCCTTTCCTTGTTGTCTGAGTTAGGGAAATCAGTGATAAATACCAAGTTCTTTTACCCTAAAGAAGCATCCTTTGAAAACTCAGTAAAAAAGGGATAGCTCTCTGAGCTGGGCCTCCTTCCTTCTCTGGCAGAGACGGGCCACTAAAAGTGTAAAATGCTGAATATACAGTCAACATTGGTTGATAAATTGGTGGTTTTGGTGCCCGGCTTTTCCCTTCTTTCATTTTTTATTCTTTGTTGTGAGGGATGGCTCATTGGGGTGTGTGAAAGGGATATTTCAGAAGTCCCGTTAAAAACATTTTTTAAGAGAAGAAGCCTCAGTATAATTCGTGTGTGTGTGTCTCACACTCTTCCCTCATTCCATCAGGATGAAATGCAGCTCCATTTTCAAAGTCTCTCAAACAACTGCACCAATTCTGAAGAACCCGAAACTCTCGAAATCAATGAAGTTCTCCCCAAATCAGCCCCAACCCTCCAGGAGACACATCCCTCTTGTTGGCCAAGAGACCACAACCTCCATGAGCCAGGCAGAGAAAGCTGGCTTCAGGTCCCAAAACCCTTCGAAGTTGGGGCAGAATATGGCGTCTCCCACCCCTCAACGCCAGCATCACACCGGCCTGAGAAAGGACAAGTGACTGATCCGTACAGGGCCATGGGGTCTGGAGGGCCAAAGGCAGAAGACCCAGGCAGCCACCTTAGGGCCATCCCAGTGGACTACCTGCCTGCCCACATAGATTACTTACCTTCTAACTTGGATTACCTGCCTTCCACTGCTGCTGGTCCTCCAGAAGACAGTGAGCTGCAGGGCCTGTCCTTCTCCATCTTCCCAAAGGGCTCTTTTCACCCACTCATCTGTGGAGAGAAGCTGACTCTGGACAGAGTTAAGATTGACCCTGGGCCCATCACTCACTAACTGGCCATGTGCTACAGGCCCTTCTTGGATGCCGCCATCATACTTTCCATCTCGTGGCCTGGTTAGCTTGCACAGAGCGGCAGGAGGGTTGTCCAGCACCCAACCAAAGCAAGGGGCTTTCCCCTCCTGGGCAACACCCAGCCAACTCATGGAACCAAGGATGACTCGTGTTTCACCTTCAGAGTTTGCATCCCATACTAATTTTATTACTAGAATGTAAGCCTCTTGAGGGCAGGGACTAGACCATTGTTCATTTTTGTACCCACAGCATTCTAGGGGTTTAATCAAAGCTTTTTCTGATTTGCCTTCTTCCTCAAAAAGCTTTAGGAAGAACAATTAAATCTGCTTGGTTGCCCATCCATTAGGTGATTAAAAAAGTCTATTTTAAACTATTTCCTATAAACTACTTTATAGGAATGTAATGAAATAATACGCACTGAGCAATGAGGAATTCAGAGAAATGGGGGAAGATTTATAGGAATTGCTGCAGAATGAAGGGAGTGGAAACATACCTCATTACCATTATACCGAAGATGAGAAAGATGGACAAGAAGCGGAATTCTGAGCCAAGGGAAAAAACACCGAGAAGTCCTGGAGAAGAGATGACAAAACCTATCCCCTCCCTCAGAGCTGAGAGGTGGAGGCCTACAGGGACACAGTACTGTGTTTTCTAAGAAGCCGGCTTTCTTTGTTACAAGGGGGAAGGAAGACAATCTGGAGTAGGGCAACAAGAAAGAATGTAAGGGTAAGATTTTGGGGCATGAGGAGATGGGATTAAAAATGCTGGATAATTTTTAAAATAAAAAATATTACCCACATTCATTTGGTGAAAATCTTAGGGGTTTTAAAATGTGTTTGTCCATTGACTCACCCCCAAATCTGGTATTCTGACAACGCTTCTTCCCCAGAAAGTCCGAATGGAGCGGAAAACCCTGCAGTGTTTTCCAGGATTTGTCTAAGCCAGCCGATGCCACACCTGTTGCCCTGCCAAGAGGAATTTTTAAAGCAAGGGTTTTGCTTTGAAAACCAGTTTGGTCGGGAGCAGAAACCACTCCTTCCTGGCTGTGTTCATCCAATTTAGACACTGGCCAGAGATTATATCTCATCAGCCCCACCTAAACTGAGAATCCAAAAACAGCTTACCTCTCTATACCAGCTCACAGTTTACAAAGAGCAGTGTCGCGGGGTCCCCAAGACACGAGTTCAAGTCTTACTTTAGACACTTACTCATCTGCAAAATGAGGTGGTTAGATTTGTTGGCCTTCCACCTCTATGATCCTGAAGGCCTACTATGTGCCGCTGCATAAGAAGATAAGTTCAGATTTCTGTAAAATGCTGAGAAGACCTGCCGTGTTTGGGTTTTCTTTAATCATTTAGACATCCAGATGCCCCTGAGGTGAAGGGACCTTCACTGTGAAATTCCCTTCAAATGGGGGTGGGTCTGATCCACTGGACCCCCCCCCTCCAAACTGCTGGCAGACAGTTGGTCACAGCATCATAGATTTAGAAGGAAGAAACCTCGACATTAACGGGTGGCCATGAAGCCCAACTTCCTTATTTCACAGATGAGGAAACTGAGGCCCAGCAAAGTTAAACTTGCCCCTAAGGTCACACAGGTCGTTATCAAAGGCAGAATGAGATTCCAGATCCTCTAAGTCCAGAATTGGTGTTCCGTCCCTTACACAATGCCAAGGACCCCTTCTCATAATCCAGTCCTTAAAAAAAAATACAAAAGATTACAGAGGAAGGCAATTACATTGATACAGCGGTCAACATATTTTTAAAAACCAGTTCACAGCCCCCAAGTCAAGGACCCCGGCTCCACACCGTTGGTAGGTTTTGTTAAATTGGTTTTTACCCCCAATTTTGTTTTTAATCTTTGGGATGTTCCTATTTCCAAAGCTTATTAGCACAGGCCCAAGGACACAGTAGGTACTCAATAAATGCCGCACTTTAAGGTTTGCAAAATACCTTGTTATCTTATTTAATAGGTCAGCTGGAGAGGTAGATACATTCAGAAGCTAAAATGATGAAAAACAACGTTATCAGTGTAAACAAGATACACAGTTTTTTGGGGGGGAAATCCAAGGTCAAGATCGGGGCAAAAATAAAAGTTGCCACATCATGGCTTGTCTCCCAATTTGTGTGTGTGCCCAGCGTTTAAAGAATTGCTACTTTAGAATGTATTTCTCCACAGTGGAGAGAGCACTCGGGTTGGAAGTCAGGAAGACCTGGGTTTGAATCCTGCTCAACATTTTTTAGTTCCATGACCTTGAACACTTCATGGAATTCCTCTGACTTTCCTGTCTCAGAAGGTGGTTGTGAGTGAGGCTCCAGAGAGACTGTCTGGCAACCTGTAAAATGCTACGAAAAATACCGCTTTGAAGGGGACTGACCCTAATCCTATCCCCCCAGACTTTCTGTGGAGAGCGTAGCGTGTCCATGGCCCAAAGCAACCAGTCGTGGGAGACAAGAACCCTCAACTCAGGCTCTGGAGAGAGGGGGAGGAGGCCAGAGACACAGTCAACGTTGTGAACCAAGGCCAAGCCACAAGATGGCCACATGACCATGCCAAGGCACCACGGCGCTGACCCTGCTTTGCAATGAAGAGAATGCCCCATAGTGGGGATGGCAAGGGAGAAGGCCCACGGACCCAGGGGCAGCTTCATCTTTTGTTGTCGTTCTATTAGGAAAACACAAAGTCAAGGAGATCGCCGTAATGCCAATGGGAGGGAGGGTCCACCGAACCCATGCCAAAGTATTGACAAGCGCCAGCCTGAGGACAGAAGGCATCTTGTACCAGAGGGAAGAGCAGAGAGACAATCTCTTCTCCCTTCCTGGGCACAGGGATGGCCCCAAGCACAACCGTGAAATAGGCAGAATTTTTCTTTGGTATTCTAGCGCACCGGGCCCGGAGACAGGAAGACCCACGTTCAAAACCTGCCTCAGACACTTGGGACGCTGGGCAAGTCGGTTCTCCTCTGCCTCGGTTTCCTCAACGTTAAAATAGAGACGATGATAGCATCTCCCTCTCGGGAGGCTGTTGTGAGGGTCAAAGTGCTTACCCACCGCCTGACACATAGCAGGAATTCAGCAGATGCTTGTTTTCCCCTCTTGTGACCCATCCAGGGGCCTTCAGAATCCTTTCGAAGCCTCTATTACAACACCTTTCCTACTCCCAGCCTGACCAGAACTGTCCAATGTCAGAGAAGTAGAACTCTGGGTAGGATCTCCCAGTCCTGATGTGGATAGAGCTGAGAGGAAAGGGATGTCCTGTGGTCACGCAGGCTCTTTGGAGGCACGTGCCCTTCTCCAAAGGCTGAGCATCCCTTCCCCGGCAAAGAGCTCCCGTCTGCTCCAACAGAAAGTGCGCTCGGCCTGGAGAGTGAGAGGGGCTTCCCTTCTGGCTGCACTGTCCCAGACAACACCCGGCCTGCAGCAGGTGCTCAGTAAATGCAGATGAACTCCTCTAAGGTCACAGGCACTCACCTGTAGGAAATGATCTGGATTCCCTCAGCAGAGAAGGGAGCGGCTGTACCCACACTAGGGTCACACCTGCTCCCTTCCTCTCTTCTGCCTCCCAGTCTTTCACAACGAGTGGCCTCCTTCACCTGAGGCACGGGGATGTCTTCAGCTGCTCTCTGGACTACCGATGGCAGAGTGAGATGGAGAGCGTACCTGTGGTCCCGGCGTCCCTGGTAAACGGCTGGGTCTGGAGTCAGATGAACTAGATTCTCTGAATCCTCCCCCTCCGATTCTCCCTGCCCGTGGGACTTTGGACCAGTCCTTTGCCCTCTCCTTGCCTCAGTTTCCTTATCTGCACAATGAGACGCTTGGACTGCAGGACACTTGAGGTCCTCTCCAGCCCTAACTCTATGACTCTGTGACCCTTTCTTAACAGGAACCAGATGACAACACATTCCGATGGTCTTTACGGAGCTGCCATCTTCTTCCCGATTCCTATTTCTCTATTTCATTCTTGAAGAGAATGAGTTTGGCTTTGAAAGATGTTCGGGAATGGATAGGGCCTGGGCTGGGAGACCAGAGAGACCCAGGTAGAATTCCCACTGACTAGGCAAGTCACCTCAGTTTCTCCACCTGTAAAATGGAGATAATGTTTGTATCACCTACCTTATACTGTTACTGGGTCATGGGACCTGTTGCTGCCCTGGACTTTCTCAGTTCTTTTTTTTTTTTTTCGAAACAAGTCCAATTTCCAAGTGGCATTGAAGCTCACATCCAGTTCTTGGATTCTGCCCAACTTTAATTACTACAAATATGTCCACTGGGCTCACCTCCATTGGTCAATAGGGTTCCCCTCCAATACTACCTTGCAGGAAAGCTGCTTTTCAGAATGAGGATAGTTAGATACCGAGCAGAGAAGGTGGCCGTTCCTTGAGCAACGAGGGATGGGGAGGAGGGAAGAGGCACCTAACAGTGGCCCTGGGCCCATTTCCTCTTCTCTGCCCTGAATCTGTCTCCATTTCTGGGTTCTGCCATGTGTGAAAAGGAAAAGAGGGAGAATGAGCGTAGCCAGATTTCAGTCCATTTCCTCATCCATAAATTGGCCCTAATAATAGCACTCGTCTCCCCAGATTTTCCTCAAAGATCAAGGTCATGTGTGATGAGCTTTGCAAACTTTTACATATGACATCAACGTGAGCTCAGACGTCAGCCGCATCTTTACAACCCCTTACGTGGCCAGTCTTCACCATGGATTTGCTGGACAAAGTGGCCTCCTCAGAGCTTCACAGGCCGCTTCTCCGTCAGCTTCTCCTATAGCCCCTAAGAAAAACAGAACAGCCAATTCAGCTGTATCTGCCTTTCCTTCCCCCCCTTCCCCTCTTTGCTTCCCCCTCCCCTTCTCCCCCCCGCCCCAATTCTGTGCCCCCCCCCCATATTCTTTCCTTAAAATTCATGTTTGCAGTTGGCCATTACGGACTCTCATGGATCCAAGTCAGGAAAAAAAAAATCAGAGCTCCGGACATCTGGCTCCCCTTAATCTGCTCCAGTGTGAACTACCTGAAGTCCTGCTTACTCCCACTTCCTCCCCTGACCTTCTTTGGTGGCCAAGCTGTCTTCTTCCCAGCATCCCCTGCTCACTCACACAACCAGGTGTGGATGTAATTCTGCTAAGACTACAGGGCTAAAGAAAGCACCGTCTCAGACACGAGTCGCAGGCCAGGGCCTTGCCTTCCCTTGCACTGTCCATTTTGAGCATCCCCAGGTTTGTTTTTAGAAGGTAGCAATTACACAAACAGCAGGGCCAGCCACTCTAAGTCAAAGGGTGTTGAGCTGCACCGCAGAAAACCAGGCCCTGCACCGGTAAGAGGTAGAAGGGCATTAAAGACCTCCTTGTACTGAGGAGGTGCCTGATTTTTCACTAAATTGAGAGGTGAGAGGTTAAAGCCCTCCTGGTTTTGTAGAAGGTCATCTACTTTCACGAATCCCCCAAAACAATCCGCATTGTTGGGGCTGCCTCCCGGCAACGAGACATTCTGGTGCCCCTGGATTGTACTCAGCTTCTCTCTACGGTCTGCTGGGAGAACCCCCAAAAAGCAGAATCCCTTCTACGCCATGAGGCATGGGACATTAATGCAGTCCATTGGAATGAGACCACATGGAAGAGCCCTCATTAGTCATTAGCATTCCCATCAATGCAGAACACAAACCAGGTACCTTCACGATGCATTAGCGGCTCTGACAAAAGTGGGGAAAGGTCTGAAGAGGCTATTAGAATCCAGCTTGTTTTTTCAAAAGGGGGAAGGGGGAAATCCCTCATTTGAGCCAAGTTTGATTTATCCATTCTATCTCCCTTCCAATTATTTTACGCCATGCATTTATCATAGCATCCCACAGAAGCACTGCCAGAACTGTCATCAACGTGGGGTTCTAATTCTTTTTAAAAGAATTCTGTTAGCTCAAGGTTCCTATACCCTGACTACAACTGTTATTCTGTGAAAATTATTCAGTGAGCCAAAGTAATTCAGTAC